CTGACATCACGGGAAGTGTGTCAGACGGCCAAACACCCAATCCTCAGGCTCCACTGGACTGTTTTGGATTGCTAGCTGTGGGGGGACGCGCAAATCTGCCCTCACAGAGGAGAGAGAGCTTGTATCTGAGGGGGGGGAGCTCTGCAACTTTCCTGGCTGCTTCTTGCTCCTCGTGGCCCAACTGAGGGCTGCTGGGAGCAGGGGGCGGGGCTTGTTGCATGTGCCCGCCCCCTGGGCTCTGCCGGAGCTCCGCTCCTGTGTGCTCCTGCAGGAAATGACCCCTGGATCTGTTCCAGACAATAGATGCATTTCACTTTGATGAAGTGACCTTTGTGAATTTTTTGCGGGAAATTCAGCTCACAGTTGTTGTTTTTTGTTATTCTTTGCTACTTTTTACTGTGTGCTGTACTGTTGTCCCTGGAATTACAACGGATCTTCAGACTACAGTGAAGAATAAGGCTGCTTTGGAGGGTGGAGTCTCTGGCATGATACCCCATTGAGGGTCCTTCCCTCTCCAAACCCTGCTGACTTCAAGCTCCACCCACTAAGTCTCCAGGAATTTCCCAACTTGTTGGTAATTAGAATTATAGAGTTGGAAGGGACCTCCAGGGTCATCTAGTCCAAACCCCCCCCCCACACACTTCAAGCTCCACCCACTAAGTCTCCAGGAATTTCCCAACTTGTTGGTAATTAGAATTATAGAGTTGGAAGGGACCTCCAGGGTCATCTAGTCCAAACCACCCCCCCACACACACACACAGTGCAGGAAATTCACAAATATCCCCCACCTCCATGTTGGGAGACTCCTGGAGATAGGGGCCTGGGGAGGAAAGGGACCTCTGAAGCATCCGTTTTCTCCAGGGGAACTGATCTCCGTAGTCTGGCGATGAGCTGGAATTCCGGGGGCCTGGGCCTGCAGGAGGAGGCGGGCTCCCAGCAGCAGTCTGGATGGTCAGGAGAGGAAGGCTCTTTGAACCACAGTGAATAGGGTTGCCAGCTGGAGCCTGGGAAGAGAAGGGTTTGGGCAGGGTCCAATGCCATCCAGCCCACCTTCCGAAGTGGCTGTTTTCCTCCAGGTGAACTCATCTCTGCGGCCTGAACATAGGAACATAAGAGACGCCAATGTTGGATCAGGCCAAAGGCCCATCCAATCCAACACTCTGTATCACACAGTGGCCAGAAATACCAGGTGCCATCAGAAGGTCCGCCAGTGGGGCCAGGACACTAGAAGCCTTCCCACTGTTGCCCCCCCCCCCAAGCACCAAGACGACAGAGCATCACTTGCCCCAGAGCCCCTATCTATACCTTGTGGCTAATACCCACTGATGGACCTCCGATCAGTTGTAAGAATGGGAGATCTCTAGCCCCTGCCTGGAGGCTGGAACCTTGGGTGAAGACCTTGGGTTCTGATCAGTGCTCCCTCTATAGCTGTGGAGTCTTGTGAGCAAAAATTTTACCTCGTGAGCTACTGGCATTATAGTTGTGCGCGAGCGATCTGGCTGCTGCATCAGTTAGTTTGCTCTGGAGCCATCCGCCCTGAGAGAAGACAAAAAGGTGTGAGCTGGAGGCTAAAAAACCCCCGTGATCTAGCTCACACTAACTCAGCTTCGAGGGAACACCGGTCCTGATATTAGAGAGTCAACATGGCATGTCTGCTTCAAGAGTTGATCAGTTGAAATTGATAAAAGACTTGTAATTGCCACATGCTCAGATAAAGCAATCTCTGTGAAACGGTTCTTATTGCACAAAGTCCGTTGTGTATGCGAGCAATAAAAGAAGAGAATTCATGAAAGAATCACAATTATTGTTGCTGAACAAACCGACGGCGGGCGAGAGGGAGGCCTTCTCTGAGGGCACTGCGGAAGCCGCGCGGGAATCCGAAGCGGAGAGAGCCCTTTCCCATAAAGCGGCCTTCAAGCGGGCTGCCCTGCCCTCACGAGCCCACGGAGCCAGGGCCTTACAGGCCTTACAAGCAGCGGTGTTCTGGGTCTCTCCCAAACATAGCACACACGAGGAGCGCTCATCAGACTGCGCCATTTTAACTCCACACGCTCTACATTTTTTGAAAAGGGCCACCTTCTCTTTCGAAGCCATGGCCACGGAATGAAAAAATGACTTAAAATTCTCCTCAACAATCGCTTCAGCTCGCAGCTCCTCTTTTGGTGGTGGCAGAAAGAGAACTGAGGGAAGAGGGCAGGCTCCTCCCAGGTCAGGTGATTTTTGGGCGGGAAATTACTCCCTGGTGAGGAGCCCAGCCCTCTTGGGAAGAATTTTCTAGTATAAGCTCGCTACTTCCTCCTGGTGGCCGGCCTGCAGTACTGCAGACACGTGTGCCTGCACAGAAGCCTTTTCAGTGAACAAAGGTTACAGGTAAGTGCAACTCCTGTTTTACAGTAAACGATCTTGCCTATATATCTTTTTCTGACTCTTCGTTATTTCTGTCGTGGATCTTGTGTTTGGATTTCCTTCTCCTCCTGTGATCTCTCTTTTTTTGGCTTCTACCTGGAGGCTGGCGACTAAACAATCGAGGCACTTGTAAAGATGATTGGTGGTCTTCCTCTGTAGTGTCACCAAATCCCAGGCGGAGCCTAGAATCACAAGTGAGCTGCAGACCACACCATTCCCCTAGAGAAATTTGACAGCTCTGGAGGATAGAATCTGTGGTGCCACGTCCCTCCTGAGCTCCCACCCCACATTCCACCCTTTCCAGGTGCCACCCCCAAACCTTCAGGAATTTCACAACCCGGAACTGGCAGCCCTGTGACCAGGAGTGTAAACCACAACAGACTGGTGTATGGACAGCTACCAGCAATCCTACCCCCAGTGCTAGGTTTATGTCCCAGGAGCTTTGCCATGCTACGCCTGGCTTCCTCAAAGGAGATACAGAGAAACGGTAATGTCCGGCTACACTGAGACTACTGGGTTGCCGACTCTGGTCTAGGGAATCCCAGATTTGGGGGAGGGGTGCCTGGTGAGGGTGGAGTTTGGGGAAGGGGAGGGATCTTAGCAGTGGCATGATGCCGCTCTAGGTCTTCCATTTCTCCTGAACTCTATGGTGTACCTTAGAGTCCACCTTCTAAAGCAGTTGTTTCTTCCGGGGGAACGGAGTGGTATCTGTAGCCCTGGGGATCAGTTGTAATTCCAGGAGAACCACATCCAATCGATCTTGCTTTCTCAAGATCGGAAATGGGAAGGGGCAATGGCTAATCTCCCCATCCCTAGAGCGCAGTAACTTGAAAGCAAAAAGTGCAATTGATCTTCCCCAGGTAGGAGGATGTAGAAGTGAAGCAGGAGAAGTGACAACAGAACCTCCAAATGGCAATGCAGGCCCGTAGCTGGGATTTTGTGGCTTGTGGGGCAAATTCTTGTTCTGGTGGGGCTGAAGTTCTCAGTGCAGAAAGAAAAGCCATTTTGCCAATAGAAAGCTGTGACCAGGATAGCTCTCTAAATTGCAAGCTGACGACCACTTGAGATGACAGTTCTCAGCGGCTGCAGGTTAATCACTTTTGCCAGCCTAAGCAACAGTTCTGAGAACAAGCCAGCAGGTGGGGGCGATGACCTCTAGAGTCAAGAAAGCTAACACTTTGGCAGAAAAACTCTCTTAAAGGAGACCAGTTTCTTGACAGAAACTTAGAAGGGATCCTAGAGGTCACCTACTCCAACCCCCTCAGTGCGGGGATTAGTCCAGCACTCTGCTCTGCTTAAAGGAGCACACTCCTTTTAAAAAAAATGTTTTAAAATGATTGAAAAAAGCATTTACAGGAGAAACTTGTGGGGTTGTCCCTTTAAGAAAGGGGGTGGAGCCCCCCAAAGCCTCACCATAGCTACGGGCCTGTAGCAATGCAGACCTAGAGTGCTGTTGCTTCAAATCCACCCAGCGTCGGGAAATCCTCCCTGATTTGCTGGTGATGGTGGCTATTGACCTATTTTGTTTTTGGTTCCCCATTGAGAATAAGCGAGAGGAACACTGGTGCCAAGCAGAGACAGGGGATACACATGGGATTTTCCAAGCACCTGGGAACACCCAAAAGAGTAAAGCTTGCAAGATGGTTTCTTCACACCTTTTATCAACAATTAAAGATCTTTACATTTAAAAGAAGAAAGCAGCCGGCATCTAGTGAACCACAGGACTCAAAGGGACAGCTGAGTGTCATTCCCAGTAGTTCAAAGGGGTCTTCAGTGCCCTTCATTTTTCTCTCCTATTCTTAGCAGAGCCTTGACGTCAATGGCCCAGGGTAGCCTGATCTCCTTAGATCGCGGAAGCTAAGCAGGGTCGGCCCTGGCTAGTATTTGGATGGGAGACCACCAATGAATACCAGGGGTATGAAGTGGAGGCAGGCAGTGGCAAGCCACCTCTGAACATCTCTTGCCTGACTTGACACCACTTTCCACCACTACCGTTATTAGCAGAACCAGAATAAACAATGAAAGACTGAAGTCGTCGTCCTTAAATGGCTGGTTTGCAAGTCGTGAAATCCAGCCTCTAAGTGCAGGATTTTGGTTTTTTGGTTTTATTTTTTGTTACACAGCTTTCCTCCTGTCATGGCCTTTAAACCCCCCAAATATGCCAGTGCTCGTAACAGATTACTTGCAGTTATCTTGCATTGAACTGTACCCTGCAACCTTTCAGAAGAAGGAAGGTGTGAGGGGAGTGGAGGGAGGGAGAAGAGTGAACGACTGAGGAGGGATCCTGAAACAGGGAAGTAGTCCTACCCTGAGGGAAAAAGCTCCTAGGAAAGGGGAGCATTCCCTATCAAGTGTTAAAGAAGTGAAACTGGAACCTGTGTGTATGTTCCTGGCTGCACAGACTTTAGTAATTTTTTAATAAATTTTGTTATATAAGTTATAAAGACAGAAAGAAGAACAAAAAAGCATAATCCCCCTCCCCCCCAAAAAGCAATGTTGTGGTTTCGTATTGGCTTTATTAATCACAAATATCCTACTGCAAAATCATTTGGGGGGAAGATTTTCTCAAATCACATTGACTCTACGGCTTGGGCCACCTGCATTATCAGCGTGTTCCCGTTGGAGATGCAAGACAAACTGAATCACTGATCTGTCACCAACGCAATCATTCCCTGGCGCCACCTTCCCCAGTGTCGATCTTCGGCCTCAAACATTTACAAGACGTTCCCAAGATCTCTGTGCCAGCAGCCCTGGACGTAGGGGTCAACATCTCCCTGGCAATACCTGTTCCAGGCCACCCTGCCAACGAAAGGAGAAATGAGGGGCGGGTTACATGCGCAGAGAGAACAGAGGCATCACACCTAAGGTCGCCAGGTGTGTCGTTCCCCCCCCCCGCTGCAGGTGGGGGGTGGGGCATAGGGTTGACAGATCCAGGCTGGGAAACCCATCATACCCCCACCCCCCACCTCATTCTTAGTGACAAAACAGCAGTGTGAAATTCTCTGCAAGTCTCCTGCCACATCAGCTTCGGGAATTACGTTTCACTTTTCCGCACACTCCCACTACCTCTTCCCCTTCCTGGCTTTCCTCCCTGTCATGATCCTGGGCCTGTAGTGGTGCGGCCTACAGGCTCTAGGGAGGCCTAGTGGCTCCGGGGAAGCCTGTATTGGAGTAGCTATCAGGGCCCATTCCCCAGGTTCCCTCTGGGCCCTGTGATAGGTTAACAGGGGATTTTGGAGGGAAAACATATACCAGCAGGAGAGCAGAGGGGGTGGTGCCTGGGAAGACATGATAAACGGCCTTGCCCAGAGTAGGAGAGGGTGTTCTCTCCCAGGGAGCAGGGCTGGTGAGGCTGCTGCAAACGTAGGGTTGCCAGGTCCCCCCTGACCACCGGCAGGGTATGGGGCAGTGTTCCCTCTAAGCTGAGTTAGTGTGAGCTAGCTCAGTTTTTTAGCCTCCGGCTCACACATTTTTGTCTCGGCTCAGGAAGGAGGGCGGCTCCAGAGCAAACTGATTTACGCAG